AAGGACTCCAGAGGCCTTGCAGAAGAGATGAATGCAAATTAAATCCAGTGGCGCAGGATAAAAATAAGTTCAGTCTTGAGGTGAAAATGTTTCTTTTCAGGGAGAATACAGGAAATATTTCTGTACTGGAAGAATCCAACCAACCATGAAAGTAAATGTTCCCATTCTGAGTTACTTACTCTATTTTTTGGTAAGGAAAAAATATATATGAAGAACAAAGCAGAAAGCATAAAATTTGAAATAGGTCTTCATGTCCCAGGAGGCTGTCCTAGGGCTATCCCATGCAGGAGGCATCCCTCTCCACTGTCAAAGCCGTTCCCCTTTATGTTAATTATTCTTGAACTTTGCCCTTTCCTATCCCAAGTGAACAGCTTGACCACAGATTTGTCATTTCAGCTTCTCAGGTTTTTTTCTCTTTCTCTCCGGCATAATAACTATTCTATTATTTACATTAAATGAAACAGCTTCAGCAGAGCTACTGGGGCAGATGGTGTTCCTGCGTGTTCCTCAACCCTACATACACCATAGAGTTTTGGTTTGGGGAGCTTCTCTGTGATTGAGAAGACTGGGTTTCAAATTGCCACTGCCTGTCAGGTCGCGTGACTTTTAAAACTGTCACCCCAGTTTAGTATCATCTTAGCCATTGGTAATTAAGTTAAATAGAAGAAAACATATTTATGTTACATTTTGTCTAATGGCTGTACTATCTCGCTCTATGCATATATGCATCCAACAGGCACGTGCACGCGCGTGCACGCGCGCACACACACACACACACACACACGTGCACGCAGCTATTGAGGTACTGGCCCTGCTTTCACCAACTCATTCAGCTTCACAAAGGGGATCCCACCAGCTTCAGGTCGCGCTGCGGAGTCACTGGTGCTGACTGCTTAAACTCTTTGGAGTGACAGTGACTCCTGCACCCTCCTCCCTGGGGAGGGGAACCTTGTGGCACAGGTGAGCACCAGCTGGCTAGAGTGAGGGCTAGCAGCCATGGGGGGAGAACTGTGCCCATACCCAAACTGTTAATCATTAACTATCTCCTCCCTGCTTTGCTGATGATCAGAGTAACACATCAAACTGGAAGGAGAGCAGGATCCTCAGTTGTCACACTGATGAATAACTGAACGGGTTCTCTTGAAGCTCCAATTGACAGAAAAACCTCTGTCATAGAAACAAGTATTCAACCAAATAAAACTGATTATTTTTGGACATGGAGGATTAAAAATTTCTCTTGCACTTTCTGCATAACAGTCTACAAAAGCCGATGTGTTCCCTTCCAGAATTTCAGGGTTAGTCCCCAAATACGCTTGACTAAAGTCTCTGCAAATAGCTTTATTTAGATGTGAAAGGAAAAATAACTTGTCTCGTTCAGTCCATTCTAAGTTTCCAGTGCTCAGCACCCATGAAATGGATTGCTTATGGGGAGATAATGTCTTTTTTGTGCCTTACAAAGTCTGTGAAAAATGTCTTCCTGGTTAATAGGTTGATTAAAACTGTATATGCTCCAGAAGATAAATATGATTATTTATCATACTCACCCAAGATAATGACGGTAAAGAAGACAAGGTTGAAATTGTGTATGATTTCCCCTCTTCCACATGCAGGGACGTTCAGCACACAATACACAGATGGCACACCACATAAAGGAGCGCATTAGCTGTTAAACATTTTTTCTTCCCATTAACTAATTTAACAATATGTCCCTGCTATTAAAGAAATAGACAAATTACAGAAAACTTCTGTCAGCTTAATCCCAATTGCTAAAATAAGCCATTTGCCCAGATGGGATTGTTTTCTGGCCTATCAGGTTTGAAACATCTAGAAATTCAGCAACCACCAGCCCAGCCCAGCATCACAGTGTTGATTCAGCTCTTCATCCGTAATTGAGTTTCAGGCATGTAACTCTCCGGAGATTTTTGAATGACAGCCTAAATATCGAAGGCTACTCTGTTCTGCGTGTATGGTGATGTGAATTTTCTAAAACTATGAGCTCTTAGGAGCCTGGCTTAAGTCAGCAGATGCTGCAGGTGACAAAAATCACAGCAAAAGCCCCTGAGACTTTTTTTACGAGAGTGGGCAGTGGACCAAATTGAATGAGCATTTCCAGTTTGTTTTCATTTGCCACCTTCTACAGCAAAGACACCATTACTGACCTTGGGCCTGGTGGTACTGTGGAGGCTCCCTTGGTAAGGACGAGGATGGTGGAGTAGCCTGCCCATCCCTGTTTCTCACACAGCCAGGTGCCATACTGATCCCTTTTCATCACCATTTTCCTATTTCTCTTTTTGCTTCTAAGCAACATAGTAGTATGAAGGGAGCTCATGTATTATTAAATGTTAGCCTACAGGCTAATTTTAGGAACACACATGGCCTCCATAATTCCTATAACTAAATGTGACCAGAAAGTTGGTGAAAAATCAGTGTAAATGAAACACAGAGGTCAGATGAAAAGTGACTTTAAACAACTTGAAACTCACTGCAACTATGCTACATTACCCACTTGAATAGCAGTGTTGCAAACATCCCCTTATTTTAGTGTAACTTTTTGCACGGGAAAAGTTGATAATGAAAATAAACTTCCCTTCCATGTTTTATTCTTACACTCCCTTGATGCAGAAAGCCAGTAAGCGGTTTTTTTTAATAAAAGAGAAAGCAATTAGGGGGCCACTGGACCCACCAACTTTCTGTGCCAAGGTCTACTTCTGGTACTTAAGTCTTGAAACTTGATTTATTTTTTTGACATGTGTTGCCTGTTGTTGTTTTTTGCCTGATTTTATTTGCTCGGTTTCAATAACCACATACACTATGGTATCTAGCTGCTCTTGGTGTACCAGGTACTCTTCCCCTCTATTTGTTCAGGGGGTTGTTGTGGTTTCCAGAAACTCTTTGCCAAATATTTTCTTAAAGAGAAAAAATGAACCATCACAAAACCAGCAGAATGTTCACCAAGTGAAACAAGCTGCACCATGCAATAAAGAAAATCCAAGATCTCCCATGTTTTTCATGTGGATTGAGACTTGATTTACTTCTACATTATGCTTGCACTCTTCTACACAAAGCTTTCTGTAGAGAAAACCCGTTTCCAGAAAAGCACAGAATAAAGCTTGGAATAAGATGATCTATGAATTCCTCTCGCTTTGGAACATGTTTTACGTTCAGCCTTATACCTCAGTATGGATTTACTTGATGGCTCTGTACTTGCCCTGTAAGTGTGATTCTATTTTAAAGTTTTATGTCTGTGTATTTCACGGTGTTAGGATTTTTTGAAGAGCATCATCTGGCATGTCCACATAACTGGGCACCTCCAGATTTGATTCATCTTATCTGTCATAAGGGAATTTTTTTTTGTAATACAGCTACGCTGATCCAATGGCTAACCATTGCCAGAAGGGACAGCTGTCTTGTGCCAGGACTAGCACTTCTCTAACCCTCAGAGCTCTAAAGCGCTAGAAACCCACTCATTTTTCTTCTGAGTTTCTCCTGAACTGTGTTCTCATGCAGTTGCCGTGCTGATGGGAAGCAAACAAGGGTAGAGCAGCTCTTTTCAGAGGCAGCCAGCAGGTAGCTCAGGGCAGATGCTTTGTACAGTTCTGGGAGCAGCCATTCCTTTTAACGCAGTGCAAGTCACCCTCTGACCAGTCCTGTCTTTCTCCACTGACTGTGCAGGGAACTTTGGATGACTGATTTAGGTGAGTTATTCAATCCAGATAAAGAGAGATGACCCAAATCCCACCCTAGAAACTAAAGCTAAGCAACTTTAAGGACATCACATGTTTTGCATTTATTTATTTCAGTTTAGTACTTGACCAGTTTTAATGACATGACTACTTGTTAAACTTGGTAACTCAGCACTTATACGCATAAGCGTAGGCACTACAAGTATTGCCATGCACACAAACTAACAGAAATATGAAAACAGTACCACTTTTCACATGCATATGATGGCAGTATTCACCACAATTTATTTAATATTGGATGGCAAGCATCAAGCTATGGAAAATATGTCAACTATTACACTTTATTTTAGCGCTGTCATGCTTCATAGGAAAACCATACCTCTCTATTATTCATCCAACATTTAAAGCTTTTTTTTCATGTTCTTTCCTAGGAATATAAAGACTTAATCACAAAGACAGGTTTTAAGAGGACTTTATTAAATCTGACAACTGACTAATTGGACTGTGTGCAATTAATAAAAACCCCTGATAACTGAGCATTCAACAAAGGATTGTTCACCGATAGCAATTTTTCTTTTATTTCTGCATTTTTACAGATCTACAGTTCTGCAAATACAATGCCTGAGTAAGACATTATTCTTCCTAGTTTACGCCCACACTTCATGAGATTACTGCAGCGTGGAAAATGTCACATTGCTTCTCCTGGTAGAAGAGCCACAGGAACCACTGAAATACAAAAAAACCTAGCCCTGCCCATACACTTTCTTAGCTGAAAATACTTGTGTAGCACAGACTGGGTGTCTTGCTGTTTCACTTACAACTTAAAATTGCTATACAAATATAGTAGAGACTTTTATCCAACCTATCAGGTTCACTATTGTGGGATCCAATAGAAAAAGCTAATACTGAGAAAACACTGCACTTTGTAGAGATCTCTTCTGATGCTCTACAGAGGAGCTCAGTAGGTCACTACTTGCATATGGGATGTTTTAAACCTTCCCTTCAGATATATAAAAATAGTTTGGTTTAGATACTTTCTCTGTTGCAAATTTAAATGTCTCCTTTATTTTTAGAAGAGTGCGCTGTATGCTTTACCTTCAGGCTCAGTAACAGATCTGTTATAATTGACTTGATGGTTATATTCCTAATGGGACATGTAAATGTCCCTGAAAGTACTGTTCTTTGTTTCCTAAAGAAATTTCCTAAAATTCCTCTTCAGACACTAGACAGGATAAAAGTTTATTGGAGTTTTTCCCTTATATTTACTACTGAAGATCGGTTTCTTCTTTAAGTCTTCATAAGAGAGAGTCTTTTTTAAAGTTGGATCCAACTTACCTTGGCGGGTTCATTTCTTCACAAATCAACTATACCAAGCACACTGAAAAGTACAATATAAATTGTTTTGCTTTGTTTTAAATCCCCTGCTGCTAGATGTTGACTGGCAACCCCAAGTTCAGTGAACGCAGTCAGTAACTCAGTCTGAGTTTGCTTCTCTATTTTTCAGGTGGGACGCTTCTGCTACTTCTGCTCCTGCTCTTGCTGAAAGAGACATCTCCAAATGGCTCTGAGTCTTTCACTTGGATTTAAGTAAGTCTTCCCATTCAACACTGGACTCACTATTTTTAGGGATTGCTGGAAACATTGACTGCATTTTAGTTTGGAATTCTTTCATCTATAGGAGAGATTAAAAAAATAAAATCAGTTAACTGTTAATAAGGAGCAAATAAAGTAGTACCATGAACCCTGGGCTTATTCCACAAAATAAACTGTGTGTGAGGTAAAGAAGAGGTAAAAAGACTTCAAAAATGACAGAAAATTAAATACTTTCCCTCTGATTATGTTGGTTCAATTAACAAAGTGAAAAAAAGTATGAAGAGACCCACAAAAATCCCCCCTTCTAAAGCACCCCACTGGGGTGCCTAATTTGAACCACTTGCCTGAATGACGCACTACTGTTATTTGAACTACTATATACACACACACTTCAAATGATTTTGTTTGGAGGAAAATCACCTCTTTAGAATGTGCCCATATTTTGCCTGCAGTGCCTTTTTCTACACTTGTAATAGATTAAAGGCCCAATAGGTCTGTTCAATGATTTTAAAAACAAGGGTTAAAGAAAAAATACTGGTCAGCTCTTGACAATTTAGGTTTATCCCACCATATGGATACAGGTGTCAAAGTCTCATTCAAATTTATACATTAATAGGAAAGAAAACAAGATTCCTAACAATATATAGCACCAAGCTTTTCTTTCACTGTTGTTAAATTAAATGCTGTGAAAGAGGAAGCTTGCTAGTCTTATATTTGAATATCAGTATATTAACATCAATTGCCAAATCTGTATTTATGATAACCAACTTATCACCAGTGTCTGATTCAATAGTCCTGGCAGGCCAGAACAGAAATTTAATTTCTTTAAAAATCACTTCTGTTTGAAGATAATATTCAGATTTAGCAGCTTGCTTTCTTCCAAGATTTTTACATAGATTTTTACATACAATGTATTTTTAAAGGATAGGCATGGAAAAATCAAATCGGTGCAAATCCTGTTACACAAACAGCAGGATGTACAGCGGAATTTTTGGATTGCTATTTTTAGGAAGCTTTAGAGAATCTATGACATTCACGCAGAGAAGACAGGATGTGGTATTCAAGCACTGGATGAAATGACCTCTTGAAGACCAAACACTGTCTCAGGCAGTATGTCCCACGCAGAGGTTCCAAGAAATCTAGATATTCTAAACAGCCACACAGGCACCTTCTCTAATATGCCTACATTTTGTGTGTTATGGGTCACTGGGTTTTTTACAAATACCTTTGGGCCATTTTCTGCTCAAGTCCTTCTGCGTATGAATAATTCTGACAAAGAACTGGTACTTCCTCAGAGAAATGTTGCTGGAATGCAATTATTCAAGTTACAGCTGATACAAAGAATGAAACAATTTACAAAGAAATTACCGATCCTTTACTAAGACAATAACTAACTATGATGGATGAAAGCATTTTAGAACTCAAGTTTTTGTGTAAAAATGCCTTGGTACTGCTAATCAAATAAAAATACTTGTTAAATAAAGTAGGAGGAAAATTCAGAGCCAAATTATCCTGTTTGTTTTATCCCGATTGTGTTCTTATGTAAAAACTAATTCACTGTCTGCTTTATATTTTATTCTGATCAGATAGCTGGTTTGATTAATTATTCATTCTGGTTTTTTAAAAATCTTGGCCATCACCCACAATTGTTCCTAAAGTAATATTTTTGCTTCTTATTTAAAAAACCTGAAAAGCGTTTATAGACAGCTAATATTTCCAAGAATAATAAACACCAGTATCAGAGCTGACGTAGGGGAACAGCCCAAATTACATTAAACAATTGCTGACAATTAAATACAAGTGTTTACAGTAGGAAATGCTTTAGGAGCTTTGGCTTAGCTGTTTTTTTCCAGTCTTCTGTAATCAAGTTACATCAGTTACCTGATGTGCAGAAAGCATTCAATTTACTTAACATTTTTTACTTCCTAAAGAGTGAAACAACTCTTCTGCTCTTTCATCTCACACTAAGTAGTATCTGGATGTTTGGTAACGCAGGAATGGTCAGATCCTAACCTGATGTAAACTGCTGTAGCTCAGCTGGTATAAGTGGAAATAAAACATTTTATACCCGCTAATGATCTGGTGCAATGTGGATTTTTTTGGCTGTTTCCAAACTCAGGCTTTGAGATTTGTTTTAGTGTCAAATTTAAATTACACACTCATAAGCCCTGTAGACACACAAAACCGAAGAAAAATTAAAAGTAATTATATAAAGCCTCCAAAAAGAGGATGATGAGGGAGGGGGAGCAATTCAGAAAAGGACAGTGCTTCCTCACTCTAACAGCTACCTTGTAATTACTAACATGCCAAACTCTAGCCCTCGAATGCAAAAGGCAATCTTGTCTGGGAGATAAAACACTACAGCTCTCTTCTGAAAGAAAAATTATATTTATTTAGAAAGCACTAAAACACTGCTAGCAGCTGCAGATTTAAGAATATTCAGATTTTTTCTCTCCTCAGACCTCTAATTTATGTTCTGCAGGTAAAAGCAACTCATTTCCTGGAAAAGCAATTTTTCCTAAACACGTGGACCAAATCTGAAACATTCAACGTCTTTTTGTTGCTTTCAAGACTCCTTGAGAAATTTCCTCAGCCTTGCCTTCTCACAGTTTGATGCTTCTTTGTAAAACCACTTTGCAGGTGATGCCAGACTCAATGGCTCATTTACCACTTCCTCTCCTGCCAGCATCTATGCCCTTTTCCACAAGCCCCCTCTGCCCAAGAAGAGTTTCGCATTGCAATTCACAACTTGCCCATGTTTTATATTTTTCCACAAACTTTCTTCCTTTGTGATTCCTGGACAGTGAGCTATTTTAATAAATCATAATGCCAAGCTGATCACCACTGTGCATTGTCTTCTCAATCTTATGCTTTGGGTTGTCAGCTATTTCAGAAGGACATAATCTGCAGTGACTGGCATGGGCCTCACTAATACATAGTCTTCACAGTTTGTATAACAGGGCCAACTTCTTCACGATACAAATGTCACAGCTACTAACTCTTACTAGAAGTTCTCCTATTCTTCAAAGATACTGCACTCTCTTCTTCCTCTCCACAACAGTTTTTGAGTTCTCACTAATACTTGCTAAGCAACATAATTAGTACTAGTCACGGACTTCTAGTTCTGCCCCGTCTCCCTCTCCTCCCAGTAAGAAAGTGCAGTATGGTATTTCATTAGGGCTTTGACCTGGCCTTCTAAGGTATCTCCCCTTTCCCTTCTGTTCCACTACTAACATCAGCTTCTGAGTTTCCTCCTCCATTTCCATATTTCTGCTTGTTGCTATCCTGAACGTACTTCCTCCCTGCACTCAGAGCTCCTCTAAAGCTCACTTGCTACGCTGCCTAAAAGCATGGAGAAGACTTTGAAAAATAACTTTTCTCTGATGTAATGGAACCAGTGTATGCACACGTAAATAACCATGGAAACCACATCCCAAAGTTCCTATCCCTTCTCTCCCAGTGACAATGTCTGCCTGCTTATGAACCATTCCAGTATCAAATTTTAGGCTGTGACTTCTTTCAGAGACTATCAGCTCAATATCCTGGGCCTTGACTGGCCAAAGTCTATTTAATATATTTGTATGTTTAGGACTAAATTTGGCCTCCAAACTAACTCACACTGGCCTCAGGGTTGTTCTTGCTTGCATTTGGTTGACAGTATCATACCAGGCCCATTGCAGCTTCAGAGGAACCCTGTAGAGAAGGTAAAATTTGTTCACTAAACATGCAAATTAGCTCCCCTTCAATGAATTGGGCTTACCAGTGTCCAGTGCAGTGTGGTGAGCTTCTTGTGAAGATGACAAACCTAGCTTTATGTTCTATTAATACTGCACACATGAGGTGCAAGATTTGGGACCTCATCTTTACCTGCTTTACCTCTCAGGGAACAAGCACACTTCTGGATGAGGGAAATGCTGCAAGTAGGAATCTGTGTCTTGCCTTGCCTTTTCTTTTCAGTAGACATGCCACTCGGGAGGTCTCTTCTGCCCTCTCCCTCACTGGAATCTTGTCCTGTATTTCTTCCAGATTCCACAATACACATGCCAGCGGTCTCAAATCAAAAAGCATTAATTTAATTATGAAAGCTAATGTGCTATGTACTGAGTACTGGAATGTTTTGAAATAATTCACTGAAATGGCTGCCTCTTTATTATTGTGAGCCACACTGACACTGGGGTACTCGGTTCAACTGTGATAATGTCTTCAATTAATAGTGCAGTAAACTGAGCACTAAAAGCTGAATGTATTTTACCTCTTTCTGCTGCCTTCAGTATCACAGGCCACTCTGTCAGCTGCTGCTTCTGAACCTAGCGGTACACGAATGATTTGTAACACATTTCTTAATGTTCCAGCATGCTCCATTCCTGGAGGCAACTCTCTGAAGTGAATTTCACTCAAGTGAATTTTATTTTTTTTATCACAGATATTGCAAAGCTTGACGCTGTTTTTCCCTGCCAAATAAATTACAGTAACTGTTCTACCTCTGACTGTCAGGCTTCTTTCTAAAAGGGTATCATCTACCTTACTGCATTAAATAATCTGTAATAGCTACAGATCACTGTTATTTTCTTATCTTAACCTAATGATCCTGCCTCAGGTGGCAAAAATATGAGGACCTAAAAGCATCTTCCATTTAATAATCTCTTTTTAATGTACATCATTGACAGAATGTCATGCAAAAATTGGGATAGCACTATTACTGAGAGCACTTACGTGGCCGTTCATATTAAAATGAATGGAAGAGGGGCTAAAAGAGTCTATTTGAATCCTAGAATGAAAGTTTTACGAAGAAATGTTCTCTTTAATGTCTGACATTCATAATAGGCCACCAGATTCTAGGAATTATTAGTTTTCTATTTTAGTGCTCGTACCAGTAAGAACTGCTTACATTAGCTTCCAAGTGAAATGAGGTTAGATGCCCTGAACTGGAATATCGACTGAATACAGTATGTACACGCCCTGGCTCTTCCTCAGCCACCTTCCATTTCACAAGGCACGAAGATGAGATGGGCAGCCCTGGATCTGAGAGCATCGGAGATGATTGTTCTTGCCACCTTTTCCCAAATCTTAAAATGATTG